AAGTGAGAAAATAAGGCAAGAAAACAAAGGAAGTCTGTCAAGTATATGTTTATGAAAAGGTTATCGCTTTGGGCAATAAGGGTTCAGAGCCACCAGGGACTTCTTGAAGGCTGAAGAAAACAGTGCTGGCCAGTGTGATAGCCACCGGTCACATGCTACCTGACAAATTCAAAGTTAGTTAATATTTCTAGTGGCTTAAATGCAATGGCATTGGTGTTAGCAGATGGAGTTTTATGCAATTGAATTTTTGTCTCGTCTTGGAGTTTTTTTATAATAAGAGGGGAAATAATACTTTGGCTGTACTTTTCAGGTTCATTTGCCTTGGAAGGGGCTAGAATTGATCAGAGAGTTTCAGATGACACTAGAGTAACAATAATCTGAGACTAATAATAAATAATTGCTTATATACTGCTTTATATTTGTAAAATATGTCCACTTTCTCTATTTCCAAGGCCTTCCACAACATTTAAATTTTGCATAATGATCTCCATTTTACAGACATGAGAACTCAGAAAATTTGCAGGCTTTTCTAGGCTGAGTGGAAAGCAAGCAGTTGAACAATCGGAGGGCTCTTTTCAATACACAGATGTCTTGGAGGTCTGAAATGTGAAGGGGAAAAGAGAAGAGGAAATGTGATGGTGGTGAGGTGAGTGGCAGGGGTGGGTAAGGTCAGAAATCCCAAGGACTTCTCTGTCTTCCCATCTCGGGTAGATCCACATCAGGACCAAATAAAATAAGGATTCACGTGGAGTCCAGGTATGTGTGCAAACAATGGTCTTTCATTACAGGCAAGGGGTCCCACATGATATCTCATGTAAGAGGTTGTGTGTGGAACCTAGAAGGAGAAGAGGGAGTCATTTTAATGAGCAGCTGATATCTGGCATTCTTTTGAGTAAATGTATAAGCTTCTCAAGTCGTTTTTGCACCAGCTGGTGGGATCTGCCAACCTTACTATGCATCTCTCTGGTCTGTCACTTTTGATCCCACAAAACCTTGGCTACCCTAAAGTCAGGGCCTATGGAAAATGACTATCCACCTTAGTGCAGTAATGGGCCCTTTTTTGTGACCTTGGCATGCACCTGATAGCGGACAACTGCTGGGTGAGCTGTATGCGTGGTGTCCTCGGTGGCATCGGTAAGCTGGGCTGAGGGAGATGCAATTGACTGAGAACTAGCTAGCTCTGTTTCTGTCCATTTTCCCACCACCAAAAGCACATGAGAATGCAAATATGTGATAATACTGTAATTTAGGGCTGGATGTGTAAACGGATGTTTCATGGATAGAGCAGTTTTCCATTACATCTTTTGACAAAATTTCAGCGGACTATACATATGTAAAATTGGAGATTTAATGTTAACATATGAATTTTAAAATGTTCTTTAAAAAATTAGAAGAATTTGACTCCCTAATACTACATGACAGCAGAAGTCTGGCTACAGTACACTGCAGCATGCCAGGGTCTCATCTCTAACCAGAATATGCTTAGGCACTGCAGGTGGCCCTGCTTACCTATCTTGTGTTCCCTGGCTAGCTTCTACAGGCATACATGCCTTTCAGGTCCTATTTGAGGAATGCTTTAAACCAATTCTAATTCCTTAAACATTTCTTTGCAAACTATTAATAGCAAGAAGTTACTCACAATCTACTCCATGCAGTATGGCCAGAAATCCATGTCGTATGGCCTAATGGTTGATAAACTCCATCTTAGGCAAAATCTGGCTTTGGGTTTTTTCTTGTTGCATGTTTGAAATTTATTCTTGGGTTATAGCTTCTCTAAACAGGTGAGAATCAGGGCTGGAGAAACATTGTCTGGACTATACATATAATCAGATACAGCTGGTCCTGACATTTGTGTTTGGTGACTGATCATTATTAATTCTTAAATAATGTAAGTAGCTGCCAAAATAAGTAAACAAGTTTAATTTTTTTTTGGGGGGGGGTTGAGGTTTTTGTCTTAGGGCATGTGTGCTCACTGGAGAGAGAGACTGAGAGAAAGAGAGGGGAAGTGAGAAATCATCTCCTAGGGGTGAGGCCATGCCACAATTCCTTCTCTTCCACTCTCCTCTTGGGATTTAGGGCACGCATGCACACATGCCTGGCATGAGTTTTAAGCCACTGGGTCTGGGACTTGAACTGTGTTCAGCCATGTGGGATTCCAGTGACATAACTGCTATGCCATCTGCTGACCTGCAAATTTAATACTTATTTTAAATTAAATACACTTCTAAATAAATAAAAATAATAAATGAGAGCAACTTATGGCCTAATGACACGAGACTGCTGTGACCTCCAACAGCATCTCCCTGAGATCTTTTACAAGGTGAAAAAAAACCCTGTTCTATTTATTCTTAAACCTCTAAACCTTTAATTGGGGGGTTTTGTGTGTGTGTGTGTGTGTGTGTGTGTGTGTGTGTACAATTAAGGCTTCCTCTTTTTTTTGGGGGGGGGGAGGTTTTTGCTTTAGGGCATGTGCTCTTGCCAGAAAGACAGAGAAAGACAGAGAGACAGAAAGCGAGAAATCACCCCCGAGGGGGATGGCCACACTGCAGTCCCTCCTCCTCTGTTCTCCTCTCAGGACCTTGGGCACACATACACACACGCCCAGTGTGAGTTTAAGCCACCAGGTCTGGGACTCAAACTGTGGTCGACTACATGGGAGTCCAGTGACAGCCATTATGCCAACTGCTGGTCCCAAGGTTTCCTCTTTAATTTACTTTGAAATGTGAACACAATTCCATTTTATCACTTTTGCATTATGCCCCTAGGTATAAGATACCGAATTTGATCACTGCTGTTACTAGCCACAATTCCCCCAGTTTTTAGTAGTGACTGTTACAATATTTTCTTAAGTTACAAGCCAGATGGAGGTAGCTGGAATCCTAGAATTCACTAAACACTAAATCTTTCACTGAGAAGGGAGATAGTTCACAAAAAGAGACATGATACACTTTGTACAAGCAAACTCTCATAGCTTTTAAAAATGAGACTGCCAACCTTAATTAAAAGTCATCTTATGACATGCTATTTAACCTCCTAGGAAGGAGTATATACCCTATGCAAGTGAAGAATGTGGCAGATCTCCTATAAACAATTTGTATGCCCTCCTTAACTTAGCCTATCAATGACAATGACAAGGTGGTAGAATATACTGCACTATAAAATCACTATATTGCTTTGTGAAAGTTACACTCCATTTGATTGAAAAAAGATGCTGAATTGTGTGCGGGTGAAAACATTCTTCATCATTCTGTAACAGAAAAGGGCCAGATAGTAAACATCTCAAAGTGCTTGCCAAGTTCATTAACAGACAAATCTAATCACCCAAAAATGTCAACAAATGACCTTTATCCTACTCAAAAGTCATTGTCTTATAAAATTAGCCATATTTCCCTTTCACCGAGAGAAAGTCTGGGTTAAACTTTCCACATGTGCTCTAATTATGTTATAATATTATTCATTGTATTTGACGCACACGCTCAATACCAGTATTAGTCATACCACACTGAGCTCTTTATTACCAGAAATACATGATATAAGTTTTTACACCATAAATGTTCAAATTCAATAGGCAGATGGTACCTACTGAATTTCCCAAACTGGATTGGTTAAATTTAAACACAATTTGATGGTTCACACATTTGTGTAAGGAACTTTGATAAATCCAAATTGAATTTGATGACATTTACAAATATTTGTACTGTCTTATTGGATGGTTGCTTGATTCTGATTTTTTTTCACCCCATTTATTTCCTCAAATCTTTTTTAAGGGAGGCTACTCTATGAATTGACCAATGAGAGATGAATTAAAAGATGTGAGCCTCTAGACTAGCTTGTTCACTGATTTAAAGGCTCTGGCTACAGAATAGGAAAAGCTGTGAGCACCAAATATTGTAAACTATGAGATGTATCTTCCTGTGTGAGGCCTTACAAACAGAAATAGCTTGCCTTACAAACAGAAATAGCTTTTTTTTTTTTCATTTTTCATTAGATTTCCATTTAGGATCAATGCTTTCAAAAGAGCATTTCAGGGAACACTAATCTCAGTAAAGCCCAAATGTTCAGAGAATTTGGGGCAATAATAACTTTTCTTTTTAGAGATTTTTGCTACAGAGTATGTGTCCTTGAGGAAAGAAGGGAAGAGACAGAGAGATAAAAAATGAGAACTCACTCCCCAGGAGAGTGGCCATGCTGCAATCCTTTCTCTGTCATTCTCCTTTGGGCATGCATGTACATGCACCCACTGTGAGTTTCAAGTCTCTGGGTCCAGGACTTGAACCACGGTCCCATGTGGGAGTCCAGCACTTTAACCACTGTGCCACCTGTTGGTCCCAGGGCAATAATTATTACAGTATTTTTTAAATGGAACTAGTTATGTTAGAACATTTTATGTAGATATCTAGATTTCTGATTCTTTTGAAAAATTGAAGATATGACAATGCAATGATTTTGTTCTTACACAGGAACAATTTTTTATAGCTTCCTTTTATGTACGGCATGTGCCTTCCATAACCAAGTGATCATACAACATGCCTGGATTCTGGAAGCTTTTAACTGAGTCCACCTGTTCTAGTCTTTCTTGAAGATATATAGTTCTTTCAATGTATTAGAGGCTCAATTCTTTCAGTATATATTTCTATTTTATTTAAAAAAATTTCCAAATTAAATTTGATTTATGCAAATTTTCTCCACATTTTGGAATGTACTGTTTTAGATATTTTGGGGGAGCTTATAATTTCATTTTTTCTTTCAAGCTTACAGGTGAAAGGCAATTTTGAATATATTATTTGGTATATGCACTGGGACTATAAATAAAAGAAATTCTGACTTGGTAGTAGGAATTTTATGCCACCTTCTAGCAAATATTTGTGAAAGTGTTTGGGAAGTCTAGGATTCCACTTCTCCTTATTGATACTTTTATAGGGCTTCAAGAAGCAGAGTCAGTATAACTGGTTAGAGTGTGTATACATTCAATGAGACTTCAGCCATCTTGGTAGAGATGAAGGAGGCTCTTGACTTCACCTGAAGTTTAACAAGTGCAGATTACAGGACCCATTGTGGGGCTGATGTAGTAATAGGCCCTAGCAATATGCATTCCAAAGGATACAGTTTAGATAAAAAAGGATATATATGGGAGATGATAGGATGAGTGATAAAAATGGGAAGCACTAATATGCTTAATTGTATCGGCTAAATAATTCTCATGAAGGAAAGATAGATAATAACTTCTTTTGGAGGTCATGAACCTTATCTGTATCATCTAGTGACCACTATGGAAGCCCAATAATAGGATGAGATATTTCATTTTGCTGACATGGACATTACAGTTAAAATAGTACATCTCTGGTTTTCAATATATTAGGGTAGGAAATAATGGCTGTGATAGAAGTAAAGACGTCATAGAAGTTCTGGTGAACTATGATTCTCTGACCAGGATATCATGGATTTGGTTCAAGCCAATCTGGATGAGAAAAAAAAAAGTTAAAAAGCAAATAAAGAGGACAAGTAGGTTTAGAAAGAAGCTGTTTACCACTTTAATAGGGCTGTCCAACATTTGGTCACATAGATCATTCTGAAACCTAATTGTTTTCATAGCCTTCCTATCTCACCAGAAGAAATCTGAATACTCTTGGAAAAAGCAAAGCAAACATAGAAAGAGGTGCCATGATAAGACTTGTTGCTACAGCACTATGTAGTTAATGATGCCAGACTTTGGATTTGATCAGAGGAATTTTTGCAGTCTAGGATAGCTATACAAAGCCTTAAGACATTGTATTTACAGGACTTATTAATACAGGGATCCATAACCTACCATAACTCTGTCAGAGTCTTAATAGCATGATGGAGCAGTTTTCCCTTAAGAATCCTCATTTTCTTTTCTGTGGAAAAGCTAGGAGTTCTAAAAATATTTTCCTGGAAGAGGTTAGAATGGTTATTATATATCAATTGAATATAAAGTATGGTTATGTAAGCCAAGCTTGCATGCTAATATCGCACAGAGTAGAAAGCAATAAAACAGGACGATGTGCTTCCTTGGGCCATCAGGTAGAAACAGAAGGAAGTTCTTGATTCAGTATCATTATGATGCCTCAAATTCCAGGAGTCCACTGGTAGCTGACCTTCTAGTATCAGTGCCATCTTGAATTCTCAAAAGGGTATGTCTTCCTCACCGATATTAAAAGAAATGACAAAGAAAACATAACAGACAAAACATCCAAAACTCAAAGGGGGTATATCAGCCATCTCAAACTGTGGTACTGTTCATTTCTTGAAGAGAATATATAATATTTCAAAATATTATATATACATATATTTCAAATGGTACAAAGTAACTATAGATCCAAATTAGAAGATAGTTGATCGTTCTTCATAATCCCAAAAAATTTCATTGAGAAAACTCTTTTGTTAAACCCACTTTCCATGGTGTTGCCAACAACTCCGAGTCTTCTCATGATAGGCTATTTCATTACACACAGTAATCGCACTGTGATTATCTGGTAGCCAGTCAAAGTGCAAATAAGAAATCCATTTGGCTTGTAAATGAGGAAGGTGTTTTAACTTCTCAAATGACTTTCCATGGAGTTGGTTTTTCTTTACTATCACAAATGGTTCTGTTAGGTTCTTGGGTGAATCTGAAACCAAAGAAAGACAGACATTTCAGGAGGAAAAGTATAATACGAAGATACACAAAGAAATGTGATCATGAAGAAAATGAGGACACCTTCAATTTTTAGGATGTTGCTTCTTTTAGGTGATCTGAAGTAAAAATCTTTAAAATTGAAGTAGTAGTTCTCAAATGGTGATGAAAACATATTTTCGTCAATACATTAAATTAATTTTTGTCACCACTGAAGAGAAAGACTCTTGGAGCAACTCCCATCCAAGAGTGACTCTTAAGGTGTGCAACCTATGCAGTTGCATGGGGTTCTGATTTAATGTCCTGCTGTTGCCATCTTGAAATTATGAATACTTTTTGAACAAGAGCTTTATATTTTCAGTTTTTACTGGGCCATGCAAACTATATAATCAGTCTTATGTCTATCTGATGATAGGTCAATTGAGAAGGTCATTTGGCAGCTTTGTAAGTTGGTCTGCTATAAGAAGTAGAGGGGTGGCATAAGCAAAAGTTGTTCCTAAGCTTAGATCACATTTATGTAGGAACACAGGCAATCTTTGCAAGGTAAGGAACTGTTCCACTCTATGGTAATATTCAAGGGTGATCAAGAGCATAATTCTCTAACTGTAGATGCCATTTAATCCATTTGAATATGGTGTTGGAGACTCAGATCTTTCAAAGGATGCATGTACAGAGAACCACTTGTTTAGAGTATAAATGATGATTTTAATAGAGTTAAAATCTCTACTCTAATGTTCTAGAAAATGAGGCATTTTTCCTTATAATCTCTTAATTCTTCATAGTTTTAGAAATCGACTGTTCTGAGTCCGGGAGTAGAAATCCATTTAAAGCTTTTGGGGTTACGCAGAGCAATAATAAAAGTTTGTGTTCAAAATTTGCTTGGGCCATGGGCAGAATTTATGAGAAAGCTCCACATATTTATTTTCTTATCCTCTTATAAATGGTAGATCCTTCCAAACTTGGTTTTCAATATTCCAGTGGTCTTTATCACCTTTAGTTTATGCTGTCCTCTTTTTCATCAGAAGGAAAGAAAGAGGTGATATTTATAAAAGTGAATTGCAATTACTTTATTTACTTATTTTTTTGGTGAGATTTTTTGATATTGGGTCTGTGTGCTTGCTGGAGAGACAGAGAGAGAAAGAGAGACAGAAAGCGAGAAATCACCCCCCAGAGGGAATGGCCACGCCACAATCCCTTCTCCTCCATTCTTCTGTCAGGTTTTAGGTGTGCACGCCACATGTGCCCAGTGTGAGTTTTAAGTCGTTGGGTCTTGGACTTGAACTGTGGTTAACTATGTTGGAGTCCAGTGACACAAACATTATTCATTCTGCTGGTCCCAGTGAAATGACCTTTTAATAAAGCCTCTGCTCCAATCCTAGTCCCAACTCTAGGCCCCATCTACTATGGAAGACCAGAAGCTCTGTCACATTCAGTATTACATCCCCAAGACTTTAATACACTAAATTTAAATAGTATAGGATTAAATAAATATGTTGGCTGAAGAAATGAATGTGCTCACTTGGACTCAGGAGCAACTATAGTAGTACAAATTGGTCTATTCTTCCTGCAACCTCTAAATCTTGCAATATTCTCCATGTCTTTTCATCTTTTTCCAATCATTTATCTTTCCTGGTAGCAATTGCTGTTATTTCTTTAGTACTTTCTTTATTGTCTCTTAAAAAGGTATTCTTGTAAAATGGACTCTAGGTCATATGCGACTAATTCAGACATAGTGGAGTATTGAGTGAAGAAGAAGGTGGACTACGTCTAAGCTGGTACTTAGCCTTTTCAGTAATATGAAAGAAAACCATGGAGTCATTAGAATGGGTCGAGATTTGCAAAATCAGAGATATTTCAGGAAGAGGGACTCAGGACGGTGTGCACAAATGATTGCCCTGGACTTACGTTGGGATGACCACATAAAACACCAATTTGACAAGATAGTAATTATGATTAGTTGTATAACCTAAGTTCTGTTAACTCCCCCTTGTAGGAAATAAAATTTCACTTTACGTTGTACACTGTTAATTTTCTCACTAGTCTGAGATACATTTACATATCAGACTGAAGCAAATCCAAAGTTGTTCGATACTTACCAAGATATTATTGTAACAAAGCCACAAGAGAACCAACTCTATATTGCACTTAGTCTTACAGTCCATTTCAATAGACAAAGCCTTAGGAGAATTAGTCTTTAAGTTACTTCCCTCACTATAGATGGAGCCTATTACTTAACTAATGATAGTTAGCAATAACCTTGCTAACTTTACAGCAACTGAGCTATGGAGACAGGAAAGGAAAAGACTTTACCAGCCCCTCCCATAGGACTGGCTGAGAAGATTTTAATAGTTCAAGCATTGCAAAGCTTCTAAACCAGAATTTAAGGGTTGTTTTGACCATTTGATTATTCTACCTTATTTATCATTGTTTATCTGTAAGCCTCTTGTAGAGAATGGAAACCAGTCTTTCCGCCCTGCCCTGCACCTCCAGAAGAGACACTGCCTCCCAAGCAGTGACTGCCCTGATACTATGCTATATGTATTCTGCTTGTGTCAAGCCTCCTTGCTGCTTCAGCTTCTTCATTTTTTGCCCCAAGACAATAAACAACTTGCCCTTTGTTTCTTTTTTACTTTTTAATTAATTAATTAATTAATTAATTAATTTTTGGAGACGTTTTTGCTATAGGGTGCATGAGCTTGCCAAACAGAGAGAGAGAAATAAAAAGTGAGAAATCACCCTTCAGGGGGGATGGCCATGCCGCAATCCCTTCTCCTCCATTCTCCTCTCGGGATCTTGGGCATGCATGTATACACGCCTGGCATGAGTTTTAAGTCATCAGGTCCAGGACGCGAACCGCGGTCAACTACATGGGAGTCTAGCGATATAGCCATTATGCTAGCTGCTGGTCCCTTTTTTAAAAAGATTTTTTGCCATAGGGCATGTATGCTTGCAGGAGAAAGAGAGAAGAGGAAGTGAGAAATCACCTCCTAGGAAAGATAGCCATGCTGCAATCCCTTCTCCACCATTCTCCTCTAGGGATTTGGAGCACACCCGCATATGCACCCTGTATATCTTTCAGGCTGCCAGGTTTGGGACTTGAACCACAGAGTTGGCCATGTGTGTTCCAGTCCCTTAACCACCATGCCTACTACTAGTCCTGCCCTTTGTTTCTAAATGTATTTTATACTATCTCTTCCCCTGTATGAGTCCAGTTCTGCGGAGACAGTTATGTATTCCGGAGTTCTCTCTCCCTGGTGCTGGACTTACTGGTTAAATTCCTCTGCTTATTCACTGATTTTTGTCTCTTTGTGGTGGGTGGCACGGGCCTGGTTCTGGACCCCCTGAATGAACATCCCTGGCAGGTCTGGCCTCATCATCCTCTTTTAAGGGATATTCTTCCAAATCTCCTGGAAGGAAAGCTTTTGCCTAATTGCACTTGTCTTTCTTTTCTTTTTCCCTGTGGATTGTATCATCACTTGGAGCCAACATCCTCAAGTTTTTCCTTTCCACTGTGCCCTGTTAACCAGGCCAGTCCACTTGCTGCTAGTGTAGACAAGGCACGACATGTACACTCTCCACCCTCCTTAAAAAAATGAACACCATAAAATGTTAAGTTAGATCACACTTTGAGACATGTTTATATATCTTGGAAACACTTCAGAGAATTTTGTCTTAGGATGATTAGTTTGGAGGAAACCTATAAAGTAGGAAGGTTTTTAAAAGTATTT